ATAAACAAGAAGTCAATATTGAGTAACTTGCATTCCACAATTACTTATTTTATTTTTATTCCCAGCAGAATTAACCGTTGTGCAACCATTATGAAACCAATATGAAACTGGCAGAAAGAATCACTACAAATCCACACCGCTGGCATCTGTTGACCAGTAAGCTAATTATCTTAAAGGCTTTTTAATATAAATCTTTAAAAAAAAAAGGTGTATTTTGTGATTATTGAATGTATACATGATAGTAGTTTCGTTGATATGTTCGTATTGTGATCGAGCAGCTTATTCTTGCTATGGTTACCTCATTATGCAAAAACGTTTGGAAGCAGCAGGTAAAAATAGACACAGACTAAATTCATATATACATAATATTTAATTATTATTTATTTCTTTAACATTTATAAACAATGTATTTCTACCTGTTGACAAATTCCGGTTATAATATAGGCTTCTTTGGAATATTAATGTGAAACGTTTCTCAACAAACACAATTCACACGGGGGAACTGAACTGATACACAACTAGTCGCACACTTACACAGTTCTTGAAGTCAGAGAAGATGATAAATCTCCGAGCCGTCGCCATAGCAACGGCCCTCCATCTCCTATACTTGACTTCAATGTTTTAATGGGAGCCTTTGTCACATATTACCAGTCTTTTTATTCCCCCTTTCCTCTTCTCAAACCGCAAAAGTTCCTTTTCTGTTCCTATTTTATGTGCAAGTGATCTCAATTAAGGACCTCCATGAAGACTAGAGGCGGCAGACAGTCATGCCAATGAGAGCAAAAAGGAAACTGTCTTTATAGCCTGCCGCTACCACCACCACCCCCTAAAACCAGCCCCCATTTCTCCATCACCACCACCACAGGCCCCCCACTCCACTTTCCATAACGAACACAGCGCACTTCCAAAAAAATCATTGTGTTCCTGAAATTTGTGACCATAACACGGGCCCAATTTGCTCTCCGAGCCAGTTCTTATGCCTCTCTGGCAACCCAAAGTCCTGAAGGTCTCGTCTTGCTGATGTCACTATCCAGTCAATGACAAAACGGCAATTATGGGCTCAGATTAAATCTGGGGCTTGAAAGGATGTTGAGAAGGTCTTCCTGATGAGGTAAGGCTATGAATTCTGTGTACGAATCATCACCCTGATCCCATCACGTGCCCATCACGTGCTCGTGCACGTATGTTCTCCTGAAGCGTGCCAAGGATGGAAAGTAACTATTTAAAATTGGAAGCCTTCATAGCCCCATCAAATTGCTCCCCACATAAAGCCATAATTAAGTGTCTCAAAAAATGCACCACTGTGAAATGGAGCCCTGATCCAGGGACTTAAGTGGCTGTGCTTTTCCTCTCAACCGTCGAAAGAATGCGGGACGAGAAAGAAGCAGAGAAAAACACTCATGTAGCACGTTACATAATCCCAGGGCTGTATGAATCTGAATTGGAGTCATTTAGATATCATTAAAGCCCTGGAGCTCAGTGTCTCTTCATGTTTACATTACCAGTCAACAATAGTTTCTTTGTCCCGTGTCATCACTTATAATTCGCCGTGAGGGGGGGAAAGTGTTGCTGGCTCATTTTTTTTCCACGACTACTTGTCTGGTTGTGTTGAAACTGGCCTTTTCCAGTACACTGGCAGTTTTTGATGAGCTACCCGCGCTGGATTACGCTGTCAACCCCGTTAAGAGCTCAGCGTATCAGGCCATCAGCAGATAAGGGTTCAGTTACGTTCGGCTTATCACATCATCAGCGTTTGAGCTGGTTCGAATCCAGAGCGAGTGTCTGGTGACAAACCGCTCAGAATAGCGTGCGGTAATCCCGGGTTCTTGCTCGGTGGACGGCTTCTAACCCCTCATCTTTGTAGCACATCATAGCCAGCTGTGTGGGCTCCTCTGGGCTCATTAGGAGATCAAACAAGACGCCCGAAAAGAAGTGGGCAGAGCTCTCGAGGCACAGTGAGCCACTCGGATCACGTGCGTTCGCTGCTCCACGCTGATATTGCTGGCAGATGGCGGCCATACTGTACTGACAAAGTGGATTCAGATGTGACAAATGCTCTTTGATATCTTGTTGTGTATATGATTTAACACGCCTCTGTGTTTGGACATGTCGACAGTCGCTTTATTTCACTTATTAAGTGTTATTTGCATCATCGATAGCCACGAATTTCGCGTGCATCTGATTGAGCACATGCATCTGTGAGGAATTAACATAAATCATCTCTTTTTTGCATTAGGTTTATTTTATTGTCCAAACATATCAGTGATTGAGCAAAAATCAGGAAAACTGTTGGAATAGCACACATGGTGTTTTTAATACCATTGTAACTCTGATTTATCTTTTTATGAATTGGAAATTGATCTTTAATAACATTGGCCAATCTTGAACACATTTTCAGTGCTCGGGGCAAATGGAGATGGAGTGTAATTCAATCGCAACTTGTATAACTCAAGCTATTTTTTTCTCTCTCTTCACAATGTGCCAGATGCATGTCAGTGCTTCCTGAAGCTTTTTCTATCCCTCCCACGTACAAGATACTCAAAACGTACCCATGACCACCGCCACCCCCACTCATGCCACCCTGCAAGACTTTCATACAATATATGTGAGCGATACTAAGCTACTTTACCATTTTCCAGCGGAAGTTATGAATCTGTTAGTTATGCAGTTGCTTTTGGTTGGTTTGATTGGCAAAAAATGGCAAATATCTAAAGGTGGCAGTGTTTACCGGACACATTATAAAGTTCTTTCTTTATGTTCTTTCACATTTTTCCATCTCTGTTCTTCAAGAATACATTTAAGGCATATGTTTTTCCCTACTACTGAAATATTAGGATACGTTAAAGCCAAAGTTGGTACCAAGACAAGCATTTGGCAAAATTTGGATTGACTGTTGTCACTGATTAAACAAGTTTGATTTATCTTGCACAGTTCTGCCAAGAATAATTAGACGCTTTATTCTTTGTGACCTATTTGGGTTATTGGCTGTGTTCCCATCAAAGTTATGGACCTATTATTCTGATAATTTTTTAAATGTGTGAAACATATTGCAACACTTACTATCCGTGAGCCTGTTGAGTCAGAGGGAGAGATTGCCATCTACAGTATCACTGAGAGATGCAAAGTTGGCGTTATTAAATGACATGTGCTTTAGTTGCACTGCCAGAATATTGAAGGCTGTGTATAGATACTCTGTTCACTGAGTCAAAAGAAACTTTGCTCAATAGGAGTTAAAATGGCAGCCTGTTTAGTCTGTGCTTTATGAGGTAGAGGTGTGTGTAGAAAGTGTATAAAATGATTCTGAAAATATTCTGTCATTATGGCGCACTCAAATTATCCCAGCACTCTGTGAGTCTCCCTTTCTCAGAGATATGAGCAGTTTTCAGTTAAACACTTAAGTTTCTATGAAAGCCGTTCTTTTTGTATAGGAGGGTTGGGAACATTTTTGCATGTATTTTAAATTTTATACATCTATAGTATTTGTCGGACACAAAAAAAAAATTATTGTATTAAGGGTTAGGTATTATTGTATTTTTATTATTATTTTTGCTATTAAATTAATTGTTTTACTGTTCAATTATTGTCGAAAAATCCTATCATATTAATGTGACAACTTACCCCTTATAGTGTGACAACATATACCCAGCTTTTGGGGCATGTTGTCACAAAAGGTCAACATGTTTTTCTTGGGCTATAATAGTGGAAATGTTCAATAGCTTTATTTTATTTATTTTTTATTTTATTTTTTATTTTGTAGTCAAGACTTTAAGGTATGTGCCTGTATACAGAAATTGATGGAAAAATATTCACTAGATTAAAACTTGCATATTAGTATATATAGATTTAGATTAAAAGAAATCATTATAATTCCAAATATAATCTGCATTTTCTTTTTTTTTTTTGTGGACACTATCTGAAAAAAAGAAAGAAAACACACACACACACACACACACACACACACAAGTTCATGTGTGTGAAGTTCATGTTGTAATCACTATGTATGGTTTAGTTTCTGCACATGCCATTTCTCCATTGCCATTGTGCATAGAAAAAAGTGCCTACTAATTTAATAATGTCCTTTCTGTGACCCATTTCAAGGAAAACATAAAAATGATATATTGTCTTTTAATGCAGTAATTGAATCTATTCAGAACCACAAGAGGCAATTGATCCCGTTTCCATTCAGATATTATAAGTGATAACAGTCATGCAGTTTTAAACTTTCACAGGCAAAGTTACAGACTAAAGATATAAATGCTCACTGAACTGTAGCTGCAGAATGACTTCAGTTGAAATTTTATGACGTGATCAGGACATCACGTGTTCGAGTGGCATCAGTGTAATGATTGCATGATGCTGGAACTATATGAACCACAAAAAAAGAGAAATCCCTGTCTTCAAAGACCAACCACATTGGAAGCAACAAACATTTCGCCTCCTGAGATCTTTTGATCCTTTAAGCCTAATTTGATCCTGCGCTCTCCAGGGAAGCGCGATTACACTGATCCTACACACCAGAGACAGAATATCACCTTATATGTATTATATCGATGCTAATGTAACTGATATTGTTTATATGCAATGAAATCCGACCGACTGTAAATCTTTATGCGGACTGGATACGATTGCGTGCCAGCGCGCTCTAGTACCGTTGGAAACACCTTCGTTTTCTGAATTATTTTTTGACGGTTTGTCTAATCTGTTATGAAAAGATCTATAAAATCTTAAAATCCTTTCGGAGAGCTGACCAAACCTTACAAATTCTCCTTGTGGCTGTGAATTAAGCGCCTTTTAATACAGGAAACGTAGTTAATGACGACTGCGCGCAAAGCGCCAATTGAAGTCTGCTTGAGTGTGTGTAACCCGCAGCACTTCCCAAACTCATCAGACTGCAGCGCTGAGCGCGCGGAGAGGGACTGACGGTGCTCCATAAACGCCAACAGAGGACATATACGTTCGCCTTTGGCTAATTTAGACTGTTGTGATGCGCATTCCTGTAGATCCCAGCGCCGGCCGGAGGTTCAGTCCGCCGGTGTCGGTGAAGATGAATGATGTGACCCCGAGCGCAGGGCAGCAGCAGCAGCAGGACAGCGTGGTGGTGCCAAGACTCCGCGCGCAAGAGAACCGCTCCATGGCCGAGATCATCGCCGACCACTCCGCCGAACTGGTGCGGACCGACAGTCCAAACTTTCTCTGCTCGGTTTTGCCTTCTCATTGGAGGTGTAATAAAACGCTACCTGTTGCGTTTAAGGTAAGAGCTTGTTTTTAAATTGAGTCTTTATGAATGCAGTCATTTATTAAAGTAATATGTGTAACGTGGACACTATAACGTAAATTGTTTTGGACGATTGTTGTGTGTTAGTTTTTATATCAACATAACTTTATCAAGTGAAAAATATGAAGCTTGTGCAGGTCAAATTTCTATGCCGTTTTAGCACACTGTTGACTGCACTGACAAATACGAATAGAATTATAGTATTCTAATATTCTAAACATATTTAAACAACATTAATGATAATATATAGCCTAACTTAGCAAAATATTGCAAAGTTAAATTTTGTTAAGTGTAGTAGGGGTATGCTACTTATTGGTATGCTAGAGTATGCTAGGGATTGAGATTGTATATTTAGATTATAATTATTATTATTTATAGTAAAATTTCTATCAGCTTTAATTTACAAAAAGTACCTCATATCATTTTATGAATTTCAGTCAGTTCTGCTGAATGTGTTTGTCTTGTACAATTTTGTCAATTTGTCATGGATAGTTAGTGTGTCAGTGGACTGAATCGTGCCATTGTACTATATTTATACTCTTATAAGAGTGTGTGAACAGCTTATGTTTTCGTAATAGCACTAGACTTTACTGGAAAAAGTTTAACTTAATAAGAAATAATGAAATTGCTCTGGCATTATTCATTGTTTGATGTGTAATTCTGGCCTGTGGCAGAATCTTTGCTCTTGGCTTGTGTTTATGGTCAGGCCTGTGCAGGTGTGGTTAGCTGTTAGGTAATTTACCAGATTGGTAGATTAGTAATAATGAAATAGAATTGCAAGATGATATGCAAATATATTGCCTTAAATGCAATATGCATGTGACTAATATACCAACCGTAGTAATAAATCTGATGTAACCTACATTTTTAAAATGTTTAATAACTATAAGGATAGACAGACATGCACACAGCATAGACATACAAGAAAAATCTAAACATAGATTTATTAAATAAATTAATCCTATTCATCATTTTTCTAGGCCCTCACACCAGCACCTTTTTTGATCACTTCAGTCATGTCACTTTTGCATTAAAAAATGTATCTGTTATTTTTTTGAGAATAATTTTACTAATATTATGATCATATTAGTATATAATAATATTATTATTAATAAAAATAATATGAACGTATATTAATATTGTTAATAATTATAATTGCTAATTTTCTTTCCACATCAAGTCTGCATAAATATGCATGTATATGCAATTATTTGCATGAAAGCTTGCTATTAAATAATCAGAACTCACAGGAACTGTCTGAAGTAGCTGCTGATCCGAATGTCTTGCATATGCGCACATGCACAGTGTAAAACGTTGCATCATTGTTCTCTCCGCAGGTGGTGGCCCTGGGAGAGGTTCCTGATGGGACGGTGGTCACAGTAATGGCTGGGAATGATGAGAATTATTCAGCTGAGCTCAGGAATGCTTCAGGTGTTATGAAGAACCAGGTGGCCCGCTTCAACGATTTGCGCTTTGTGGGCCGAAGCGGAAGAGGTCAGTCCACCTTTTGTGAAATATTTAGATAGATCCTAATTGTTGAACCTTTTATCATGCAGGTTACATTGGGAAATGTGTTCATGTACAGAAAATCAAACATGAGCTTAACTGTCTTTCATTGCATGTTCGCACTTGATTGTCAAAACCAATCAAAAAGTTTGGCCACACCTTTTTTATTGTTGCTGCTTTCATTTTTTTGGAATATTAGCAGCTATCAAACCATTGAAATAACCAAAAATGGAAGCGTGGGAAACATGTATGTTAAACAAATCATCCTGGGATATTGAAGGAGTTCACACGGATGCTAGACACAAGTTGATGCTTTTCAATCATTATCTAGTCTCATCTATTTAAAAAAAAAAAATGATTAAAATGCAGAATTAGGCTACAGCACACAGATGATATGTAGGAACAATTCATATTTACCTACAACATTATTTTTTTTTTCCAGAAAGTTTAAAAAAAAATCATGTAAAACAATTTCATTCAAGCATGCCCAAACTTTTAACTGCTAGTGCAGCTAACGATACACTTCATAGCAGTTTATGTGTTTACACAGGCTTACAGATTGTATTATCACACCATGCGTTTTTCTATTAAGCTTAATCGTTTTGTGTTTATCTACACTTGCACAATGTCATGTGGAGAAATCCTCCAGGGAGATTTGGTAACACAGACTGTATTATCACACCATGCCTTTTTCTATTAAGCTTAATCATTTTGTGTTTATCTACACTTGCACAATGTCATGTGGAGAAATCCTCCAGGGAGATTTGGTAGCAGAGGCACGCGGTCACACAGGGACACATGACATTCTTAGAATAATTATAGTCAGTCTGTGTGCTGAGCTATCAGTTACGAGCCAACACCATTGTGAAACCACATCACCAAATTGCTGGTAAGAATGCGCTCATTAAATTACAGGTCTGTGTGCGTTCTGTGCTAAGGTTTCTCATACCATCGATGCTAACTTAGCTGTCTGCATAACAGTCTTTATATATATATATATATATATATATATATATATACTTGATTCTTATATATATATTTGAATATGTTAATTTTGCGTTGTTCAGATTATTCATCTTTTTTTTTAACTTGAAGTGGTAAATTCTGTGCTTTTAGAGTTGTTGCACAAAATTGTAAAAATAATGATGCTTCCCGAATACTCTCCTTGTCTGCAATTTGTCAGTCAAACAGATGGCCACGCCTCCAAACTCACAACTATGGTTGAGCCAAATTGAGAGTCGCAGGCTGCATTCGAAATCGCATACGGTACTTCCTTACTGTATAGTAGGCGAAAAACAGTATCTGAAAAGAGTAGTATGTCTGAATTCACGGTATTCATTAAACAGTAGGAGAAAACTACCCAAATTACTTACTACTTCGGTCAGGTTTTAGAATGAGCATCTGAAGGACGCTTTACTATCCCATGAGGCCGTTGGAGAGGATTTGTGAATGGCAGTAAAGCAACAACTGATGCTCGTATACTGAAAAAAAAAAACGTTACTTTGAAACAATTTTCACTCAGAAATTCAACAAAATGGCAAGTGACGCATTGAATTAAACATGAAATTTTGAAGTAGAAGTTTTACACACTTCACCTTTACATCTTGTTTAAAAAAATTTTGTTTAAAGCTTGTACACTCCAAAAAAAAAAAGATGAAATGGCAACAGGAATCTTTTTGATTCTTTGATTCGTAAAGCTTCATGATTTTTGACACTTGAGGTTTCTTTGATTTTTAGAAGATTCCAGGTCACAATGACATGTTATACTGTATATTGTGCAAATTATTTTTGCATTATGAGAGCCATTTGGTCGTATTTAATTATATTTTATGATTCCAAGTCATATAAAATCAGTGTCAGCAGATCTGTGCTGCTGTGTGGTGCTGAGATTCCACACGTCTTGCCAGCTGTTTCCCAAAGTTGCCAAAGTATTCCACCCACTACTTCCTGTCTCCAGCAAATCAGGGGCATTCGTGAGTAGGAACCATTGGAGCGTCATGTTAATCCCTTGTTCCCCTGTGTTAAACCACCAGAGAGCACAAATTGTCTGGAAACACTGTTTAGGGAAGTGAGCTGTCTAGATTGTAGCGGTGCACAATTTCCCAGCAGCCCACTGATCTCTGTTCTGAGAACATTAAAATAAAACAAAAAACTAGTACAAAAAGTGTGCTGAAATCATTATCGCTAATAGTAAAATCTTTAAACGTCCCCTGAATTATAAGCTCAAAGTGCTCAGTTTTGCTTTGACAGTGAGTAAAGTCCTTAAATGTTTCTGTGTTTGCACAGGGAAGAGCTTCAGCCTGACGATTACAGTATTCACAAACCCACCGCAAGTGGCCACTTACCACAGAGCCATTAAGGTCACGGTGGACGGACCGCGGGAGCCCAGGAGTGAGTACACCTTATATTACATACTGCTGTGACTAACCACATCCATGAGGTCTGTCATCACGTTCACCTCTCTGTTGGGCCGCAATCGGACCTCATCAAAGGCTTGCGGTCATTCGGTGCATGTGCTAGTGATTTATTTATTTATTTATTTTATTTCTGCCTCAATCTGATGTCATGAAATCATTGCCTGAAGTAATTCTCTCTGGGTAGGCAGACTGATGACTTTCATTTTGCTTTGAACAGATTGGAGGTTTCGGGATTGCTGTTACCATATAGAAGTATAAGTATAGCAATAATTTTTCAGTTTTATGTTTAAAAATATGGATAAAAGTTGAATCATTCAGACAACTCACTTCCTCACTGAACCGTTAGTCTGACTCGCTCACTGAAATGCAGGTTAAGATGCCCTACGTAAAATGAGCCGAGAGCCATTACTGTGATGTGAGTTTTAGGGTTTGTGAAACTGCCATCGATCTATTCTGACCATGTTCATGTGACATCTGTTATGTAGTTAAAGATACATACACACAACAGAGGTTTGTCGTGATAAACAAACTTTTAAAGTCATCATGAATCAAAACTGACCATATTTTATTTTAACTTTTGATATTCTTATTAATATTTAAATTAAATATGTAAGTAATGTCACTTATTATTAGTAGTACTAGTAGTAGTAGTAGTTAAATTGTAAATACATTTTTCGATTTTTAAAACTTTTTATATAGAGTATTTTATTCAATGAAACTTTTTCCATAATATGTAAATTAAATATGTAATATGTCGATAATTAATATTTTATAATGATAATAATAATTATTATTATTTCATTTGTAAATTACGTTTTTCATATATA